GGATCACCCTGAAAGATGTCTATAGATGAACTCCTGGTTGCACCTTGAAATTGGGTCTATGCTAGGTCTTAGGCTAGCACTTCTAATCTTTGCTGAAGTACCCTTATGTGCCCCTGTTGGGTACAGGTGAGCCAGAGCCCTCAAAACAGACAGGTGATGATGAGAGGAGCCACAGATGGTGATAGCCAGACCTCACTGGCCTATTGCCCCAGGAAAGAGCTCTCTCATCCACATAAACAGTATAAATAGCATAATGACTGTGGCATGAAGCAGGCTAAGAGGCCCTGAGTTAGACTACACGAAATAAACAAGCAGCACCAGGGAGTTAGGATTTTAAAAAAGATTTCATTCTGACACAGCAAAGTAGATGGAGGTTAGTGGATGTGACAGCAGCCAGAGTCTGGTTCAAGAGTCTTGCGAAAAATGGGACCTCACAAATATAAGTATGGGTCAAGGTCAGCCTACTTGTGTGAGTACTTTTGTACATTCATATGGAAGATGGAATGCCCGGGCCTTGTACCATTAAAAATAAATAAGTAGGGGCTGGCACTGTGATGTGTAAAGTTAAGCCTCCACATGCAGTGCCAGCATCCCATAGGGGCGCCAATTCAAGTCCCGACTACTCCACTTCCAATCTTGCTCCTTGCTAATGAGCCTGGGAAAGTAGAGGAAGATGGCCCAAGTGCTTGGGCCTCTGCACCCACATGGGAGAGACCCAGAAGAAGCTCCTGGCTCCTGGCTCCAACTTGGCCCCACTCCCGCTATTGTAGCAACTTGGGGAGTGAACCAGCAGACGGAAGATCTCTCTCTCTCTCTCTCTCTCTTTCTTTCTCTTTCTCTCCTTCTCTTTCTGTATCTCTGCCTTTCAAATAAATAAATAAATAAATCTTTAAAAGAAATACATAAATAAATAACAAAATGTACAAGAATAAGGCACTCAAGAAAAAAGTCCTCCTGAAAAAATAAGCAAATCAAGAGAACAACACTGCATCTCCCAAACAGCCATGATAAACAGATCAGCTGAGGCCCCAAACCACTGCCAGGCACCTCCCTTCTCAGAAGAGTCTGGTCCAGGGAGGAATTAGTCCTTAGAACCTCCCAGATAACCAAGAAGGGATGGGAGTGGACTGGTACTGTCAAGGAGCTAGGCCCATCACCACCATCTCATTTACTCTTCTGCCACAACGTGCCTTTGTCTCTCAAGAATAAAGCTGCACTCAGTGCTGGAGAGGGCTGGGCAGGGACATCAGTGGAAAACCATAATGCGACCTGAGAAGCAACTTGGGGTATTCATAGCTTCTGCAAGATGCCTACTCAACAATAAACACCTCCCAGCATGGTCAAAAACACCCTTCACAAACACAACAGATAAGTCTGGAGCTGTCCTGCGGCCCAGGGGCAGGAGCTGAATGTGGCAAGGAGGCTGTAACATCCAAGCAGACACCAGGCCAGTCCCACCCGACACAGCAGCTCTGGCTGGTGTTCCTCTCTTCCTGGAGCCTCAGTGGGCAGGCTAGCCCCAGCTGGCACAAAGTAACACACAATGAGAGCCCCAGGCTGTGTTCCTGCTGGAACTGATGTGGCTCTATTACCAGTCTAGCAAAGGAGATGCTGCCTCTGAGATCCAAGTAAGCCCTGGCAAGGTGGGGCAAAACGGAAACTGAAGCTAATCCCTACCACACCCCACTTCAGCCAGAGATGCAGACATCACTTGAGCTTCACCCATCCACACTGCCTGCAGAGAGCCCAGCACATGGCAAAAGGAACTTAGCGCTACTAAGTCCCAAATGAAAAGGCAGCAACAGCTGGTGCAGAGCAGGGCTCACTCAACTCAGCTCACAGCTTCTAAAGGAGTTCTGGAAAACAGATAGCTCCCTTCCCGAGAGCTTATGAGTCTTCCACCCACTCATCCTCCAGCATAGGCCAAGGAAGACTCAGCTGTGTTCTGGATGTGACCCCCCCCCCCCGCCCCCGCAACCTGAAACTGCAGTGGTTGCTTCCAGGTCCCAACCTGCCAAGCGTATCATCATACTCTTGATTTATATCCTTGTTCCTTCACCTCCCAGACCAAGAGAGGGAATGTGAGAGATTTTTCTGGTGATGACTCTGCACCCACTATCATGGAACAGGAAGCGGTAAAGGCCAAGGCTGCTTCTGTCCGAAGGAACGAAGTGAGGTTGGCAGCCTGTGCCCACTTGCTCTTCCAAGGAAGCAGAGGCCCAGCTTCATAAGGGATCACATCACACTCCACAAAAATGGGGAGGCCTCCATGAATAAACATGAGGGAGGAGGAAAACGCAACAGGCGCGACTGGTTGGTAATAACAATAAGGCAGTGTCTGCAAATTGCATCCAAGAGGGGCTCTCCTCTTGCCTCAAGAAAAACAGTTATGCCTAAGCCAGCTGAGTCATCCACTGGTCTCAGCCCAGAAAATAGCCTCCCTGGAAGATCTGCCAAATTCCACAAGCCCTTTTGAAATGTAGGTCAGTCCCTGCGTGCCTACGTGCGTGCCTACCGGGACCTCACTGCCCAAGGGAAGCTGCTGCGCCAGGAGGTGGGGGAGGGGCTTCCTACACACTGTGGGGTTTTTTTTCCTCCCTGCTCCTGACTTTATGTCCACTCTGTTGTTCTTTTCTGAAATCCCCCTGACTTATTTTAATTTCAAGAATTCTATTTGCCCGCCTCTGAGTCAGAAAGAGACATACCCTGAGGGCATTCTCCCAGCAGATGCTGTGTCTTCCATTTTCAGGCCATGTGCACAGCTATGCCAGGGAGAATCCCCCACAAGACAAGGAATGTGGCCGCATTTCTATCTGCAGACACACAGGGAAACAGTAGCAGAACCTGGACTCCATCAGAACCCGGAGAACATCCCAGGTTGCTTGTTTGTTCAACCCACTTCCCCAAAAATTTTAAAATTGCTCACAGAGATAGAGTTGCGACAAAAAATAAAGATGAAGAAGAAAAATGGGAAGCCAAAGGGCTTGAATCTTCTAGATTGGGGACGGGGAAAAGTTGGCAACAATTTAAGTCTCTACCTGCACCTGGCCTTGTCTCATTCTGTCCCTTCTTTAGGGGTCCTACAGGATTCTTGCTGTCTCATCAAGGTCACCCCAAGCTCCCCACCTTGCTAAACTCAGTGACCAATTCTGTCTTCATCTCATCAAGCCACAAGCAGAGTTTCATAGAGCTGATCAGCCCCTCCTTTCTGAAAAATATTCTCCCTTTGTTTCTCCTCTTCACTGCCTTGTCCTACTTTTCTGGTGTCTCCTAATCTCCCAGCTTCTTAAAATTGGGATTTCCTAGGCTCAGTGTTTGGAACACTTTCTATCTTCCCTCGATACTGGAGATGTCATCCTATTTCATGGCTCTAAATTGTGTGCCTTCTGCCCATGACTCCCAGTGTTTACCTTCGAGCCATCTCTTTCCCCTACACTCTACGCTCCTGCATCCAACTGCTCACCTACTTCTCCACCCAGATAGCTAACATACACCTCACTCAAAACTGCCCAAAACAAAGCCCCAGTATCCTGCCCCCAGGTCTGCCCTACCACCATCATACCCACTCTATGACAATTTCATCCTCCCAGTTACACCAAACATGCTAGTAGTCCTTGACTTCTGAATTTCACTTCCCACATCCAATCCACCAGGAATTCCTATGGGCTCTGCTTCCAAAGTATGCTCAGAATCTGACCACTTCTCACCACCTCCACAGCTGCCACTCCAATTCAGGCCTGGACTATCCTGATGGTCTCCTACACAGGCCCTCTGCTGCTGTCCTTGCCCCTCGCAGACTATTTGCAACACAGGCGTTAGTGTCATCCTATTGGATGTAAGTCAGACCCAAGTCCTCAAAAGAGCCCATATTGCCTGCACAAGCCAGCCCTATCACTTCGCAAACCTCCTCTCTTCATGCTCTCCTCTCAACAGCTCCCTCCCTACCAACCACACTGGTCTTCCTGCTTCTCCTTGAACACACCAGTCTTGCCCCGACCTTAGGACCTCTGCACCTGCACCTCCTCCTGCTTGAATTGCTCGTCCACCTTCTTTCCTCTAAGAGCTACCTATGTTCAATTGTTACCTTCTGAACGACGCCCTCTTTCACCACCCTGTTCAAAACTGCTCCAATACCCCATCCCCTTTTTCTGTTTCATTTTCTCCATAATACGTCCCCTGTTAAAATACTTTTGTTTATGTAAATATGTTTTTATGTAAAATGATTTCAATTTAGGTATTTCCTGTCTTATTTTGTGCATTGCATTCCCTCTTCCCTAGCACAAATGCTCTATGAATACTGCTCCATGAATGCAGGACTTTTTTTTTTTTTTTACTAATCTTTACCTCTTAGAACTGTGTATGGTGCATACTAAGTGGTACAGTACGTAAGTGTTAGATGGGTGAATGGATGGAAAAGATGGATGGAAAGAGTGAATGGCAGGATTCAGCTGCCACATTCCTGAAGGTCCCACAAGGGAGAAAATATCACCGGAATCAAGTTAGGTAAAAGTCAACACTAAAGACACCTACCTTCAACATCTACTCTGCCTATCAAACCACACCACTAACTCCTCATATAAAATGAAATATATACAGAATCATTAGGATTAGAGTAACCTTAGCTTTGCCTCAGTCAGCCATAGCCTACCAGAAGCAGGCCAGGGAAACACTTGTAATTATGGAAGCCAAGAATGGCAGCCATGGCTCCAATGCTGGGGACGAGGTTCAGGGTGAGAATGACAAAGTAGAGTTACCAACGTTTATTGAATTTCTACCCTGTGACAGACATGGCACCAGACTCTTCACTAACATTACATCATAAAGTTCTCACTACCCTGGGAAGCTGTTATTATTACACCCAATTCACAAGCAAGAAAACTAAAGAGCTGAGAGATTAAGTCACTTGCAAAAAGGCATAAATATACACTGAGTCAGAATTTAAACTAGGTTTATATGAATTAAAAGTTCTCGCACCTTCCACATCATAATGGTAAACTAACCTTTGCGTGATTTGGTCCAGTTCTCCCTTCTGAGTGATTCATCATCTTTGGTCTCAGTAGATCAAGCGCCTTAGAATCAGAGCAGCAGAGCTAAGAAAGGAACGACTAAAGTTGAGCCTTTGTTTCTTAGTTAATGCTGAAAATTTTCTGAAATAAATCATCAGCCTGAATCTTAGCAACTTACACTCAAGTTTTGTGCATGCACACACACATACACAACACATGCATGCCAAAATCAACTAACAAGAAAACATAGTATTATGTTAAAACTTACCACACTTTTACCTTTGCCCAAGACAGTACCACAGATGTGCTACTCAGTAGCTACCTATCCTGGCAGATGCTCTTAATGCTCAAGAAAAGTATATTTCACCAGCACCAGCCTTGCATAAGCTCCAGGGAAATATCTTTTCTTCCACCCACTCACATGTTTCTCCCTGGGCATTGTGCTCACTGCCAATTGCCTCCACCTCCACCCAAGTTACAGAAACCTGTCCCGTAGCAGCCTACAATTAATGTTGTCAGACACACAAGTCTGACTGTCAACTCACTGGTCATGCTTCCAAGCTTACCAGAAGACACTTATAAACAGAGACCCCACTGAGTCACCCTGAGCAGGTGTTTCTCCAATAACTAGAATCTATGTTCACTTATTCCCCCTTTTTCCAAGTCTGTCTCCTGATGAATCATTTCTATGAAAATGTTCAACCAACCAGCTAAGTGTCCAATGTGTGTGCATGGTAAAGGTAGAAGGTTCTTACAGGAAACAGGCTCACCCAAGACTTTTCTTCACTCACCTGGGCCCACCTACCAAAGAATCCACCTTTCCAACCTCCATATGGAGAACAGTTAATAAATAAGCTATCCCTCACCTGAACCACATCTGAAGATTAAGAAAATTCAGGAATGAATATTCACAGCCATTTGTCCTGGTTTCGGCAATTTGGACCTATCAATCAACAAGTCTATTTCTTGGTTCCTGTTAAGAAATAATATCTGCTGACTGAGTGTAGATTGCACCTACGAAATGTCAGGTTGTTACTATAGTACAAGATAAGCCAAAAATGTTTAGAAAAATCTTTTCAAAGAACAAAAGTACCGCCTGTCACCAAGAACTGAATCACTACAGTCTCTAAACTTGTATGCAAGTTGTTCTAGAAGGGTAAAAGAGATCCCTGAAAACTGTCTATTAAAGGAGATTAAACACTAAGTCAATGAAGACAAGAGAATGGGCAGCAGTTTCATGAGGTGCTTGTCTGACTACATATACTTGGAGGAAGGCCTTTGATTCTATTTTCTCATATCTGTTACATTAGAGACCTAAAGACACAAAGACAGAGTCAGCTACATAGTTAGTGGGGACCAGAGCAAAATGAGTCTTAGCAGGCTTCAACAACAAAAATTTTTAGAAGACTTGGCCTGATCACTTCTTCCTTCCTCTTTCTGCTTCTGAACTAGCCTTCCCCTTCATGCCACTGAGGGTCTCAGTGGAACTCGCCAGAAGACCACACCACTACCACTTCCACTATCACTACTACCATCACCCACAAGCTCAATCAAAATCTGCTTATCTTCTAAATCAGATAGTTCCTCTAATAAAGTGATTTTAGAAATGTTAATGGTGGTGGATGGACCGGAGGTGGAGGGAAGCCCCAAACAGAGAAGGCCAATTAAACTACAGTCTTTTCTGAAAGGAAACTGCACAAGCACAGCTCTCCTCAGTCACGGCTGCCGTGGCCCTTTCTTCAAGGGTGCGATGTTCAGATAACATTAGCAAACCTGCTCAACCTTTCTCCAGCTGGACTCAGAACACCAGAAGATGTGTTCATTCATCTTTATTCTCATTTCTTTATTCACCATGGAAATGCTCCACCCATGACGAATTACTCCTCAAATTGCACCTTGCAGAAGTAAAGATCTGCATGCTCAAATATTCCTTGAGCAGTTGCTTTAAACTACAGAAGGCTGAACTTTAGTTTGGGGAAAGGATGTTTCTAAGTGTCATGTGTTAACTAAGGATGGAAGAATACAGTGAGGATGTGCCAACAGTGAAAGAATGATAACCATTCAACTCTGTGACTCTTCCTGACAATTTGCCTTTTCAGGGCTTACCCCAAGTTCCTCATCAGTAATATTCCATCCCAGGGCTGGAACTGTGGTGCAGTAGGTTAATCCTCCACCTGCAGCACCAGCATCCCATATGGGCACCAGTCCCGGCTGCTCCACTTTAGATCCAGCTCTCTGCTATGGCCTGGGAAGGCAGTAGAAGATGGCCCAAGTGCTTGGGCCTCTGCACCCACATGGAGGACCCCAAGGAAGCTCCTGGCTCCTGGATTCAGATCTGCCCAACTCTGGCCATTGTGGCCACTTGGGGAGTGAACCAGCGGATGGAAGATCTTTCTCTGTCTCTCTCTGTCTGTAACTCTACCTTTCAAATAAATAAATAAAATCTTAAAAAAATATATTCCACCCCCAAATCTAACAATAAGCCTCATGATTCAGCACCATTAGTGATTGATAATGCACTATAAGGAAAATTCAAAGATTTATTAGACTGACAGTGAGAGTCCATGCTCTTCTCCACAAAAGGTAGGCCCATGTCCTCTGGAGATAGGAGTCGTTGCTTTTTCAATAACAGCCCCCAATCTTTTGTTTTCACAAGGACTAATTTCATGCCAGTGAAAAAAATCAAAATATTCCTTCAGTTGATCTCTTTCCATCCCTAACTTTTCAAAAACTACTTCTTTCAAGTCATTATGGGGAAAATGGCTTCTCTTCATTTAAGGAAAATTGAAGACATCCGTCAAGAGTAGTGTTTAAGTTCTATTTACAATCTCATACAAGATCCATGGAAACAAGGAGGGAGAATATCCCACCACAGCTTCTCCTGAATCCTGTGCGATTTCCGTGTAATGAGGACCTGGAGAGAATTATTCACAGACGGCAAGCACGGGTTTGGAGAGGAATGGAATAGGAACACAGGAAGGAGATAAAAAGCAGCGAAACAGAAATGCAAACAGAGACTGAGGTAAGATAAAATGCTCTTGACTTTGCATTCAATAGATTCACATTGCCAAGCATATTATTTTCTTTTAGAAGAATTCAGTTGCAGTCGAGAACCAATGAGAAAGCAGCCTCTTAATAGGGCATAAAAGCTGTTTCATCTACTCACTCCACCCTCTCTTACTCATTATCACCACAGAATATAAGTAAATCTAAAGCCCAAAGTAAACCAGGACATTTGTCACAATTAACATATAGTATATCAACTTTGCACTGCATCTCTTTCCAGAAAGAATGATCTTGCCCTAGACTGGGTCTTTGTAGTAGGCTGATGGCCCTACGTATGTCCTGGAGTACAGAAGGTAGTCTCTCACCTGTGCTCTGATGATTTTAAGAAAATTAAAGTGATAAACATACTCCATGTACTGCCCAGTGTTGTTATCATTAATCAATAGCATAAGAGGGCTGCTGCCGCGGCTCAATAAGCTAATCCTCTGCCTGTGGCGCTGGCACCCCAGGTTCTAGTGCTGGATGGGGCGCTGGATTCTGTCCAGGTCGCTCCTCTTCCTGTCCAGCTCTCTGCTGTGGCCCGAGAGTGCAGTGGAGGATGGCCCAAGTGCTTGGGCCCTGCATCCTCATAGGAGACCAGGAGAAGCACCTGGCTCCTGGTTTCGGATCAGCACGGTGCACTGGCCGCAGCGGCCATTGGGGGGTGAACCAACAGAAAAAGGAAGACCTTTCTCTCTGTCTCTCTCTCTCACTGTCCACTCTGCCTATCAAAAAAAAAAAATAGCATAAGAGAACTTTTCTGGCCACAAAAACCATCATAGTGATCACAAGAGTGCTAACCAGCATCTCTCCTACACCCCTACAGCCCAGGTGCAGTCACTCAATACATACAACTGGGCATGGCGGTAAAGTGTCTCATGACCACTAATGGAAAGCCTCTTTTCTGGGTAAGAAAGTGATTTCTAAGATCCCTTCCTTTAAGATATACACTAACTTTCAGTTTTCCCAAAGACTGATCCATTCATTAGTCCCAACATCATCTCCCAAAGAAAGTAAAATTTCTGTCAAATACTGAATAGTAATACCTGGTCATCATCTTCAGATAGGAGCTTTCCTACAAGTTCACCTGGTCTATAATGTTTCAGGAAACTGACTCTTTTCCAACAGCCAAGAGACACATACGTTGTTTGAAGAGAAGCCACATAACGTGTAGAGGCAGAATGGAGAAGCACATTCAGGAGCCCCACACCAGCCAATTTGAAGAAAACATGGTTTTTCTGGCAGCAAAGTGTCTGTCTAACTAGAGACAGCCAGAAGATTCCAGGGGGAGTATTGGGTGGACCAGAGAAACAGGCCTCGCCACCAAATTAAAAACTGTCCAAATCTTAGAAAGAAGAGACAATTCAGGCTCAAGGTGTGAAGCTCAGCCAGGGGCCTCCTAAGTCAAGCACGATGCTGATAGATCCGGTTCTGACACCACCTCTGACAATGAACAAGCTCCAGCTCTTCAGCCTTATGCCACAATCCGAAGAAGACTTTGCTCCCTGTAGATTCCTGTTGGGTTTCAAAGGCTTCTGATTCTGGACCATGGCTTAGCCAGGCCCCTTAGGCCTGTCACAGATCCTGGTCCCCCTAGTTTGGTCCTTACTGGTCTGTAAGGTCTTTGATCCTGAGTCATCCATTGGCCTCAGAAAAATCATTCTCACTTCACCCACCTTCCACCATCACTCCTTACTCCTAGCTCCAACCCCTCAGGATACATTGATAAACTTGCCCAAAATCTTAGCTGAGTTCATTTTGCCATAATCCAATGGGGAGGGTGGAGGTATCAAACACAGGGAAAATATTTTCAAAAACAGTAACAAACGTCAAAGAGGAACTGCTATCTCTGAAGCCAAGGTAAATATCAACACAGACTGTGGCTTGGCAGTCCCTGGCTTGTTATGTACAAAATGCTGCACTCAACTGTTTGATTCTTTAGTGGTACAAAAAATATGCACGTCAGTCTACTTCCAAGGCAGTCAGGAAGAGTGCATTTGCGTGTTAAACACAATGACTTTACTATATGAGGGTTCCAGACGTTGTGGATTTTACCTTAATTGGGCACTGGATATTTTTCTATTCCTATAAATATTCTTGAGCTCTGTCCTGAGGTTAAGTGACTTGGAGGCAGCTTGATCCTTTCGGAAATTGATTTTTTATTATTTCTTAGGCACATTTGGAGCAGTACTCATTTCCAGCCCTCTAAGCACCAGACCCTGTTATCTTATCCCCTATATAAGTCCATGTTATGTTGCTATAACTGAAGACCTGAGACTAGGTAATTTGTAAAGAAAACAAATGCATTTCTCGCAGTTCTAGAGGCTGGGATTCCAAGTGCGTGGTACTTGTATTTGCTCGGCATCTGGTGAGGGCCTTCTT